TGCTTCAAACACTTGGAAGGAAATCACATATTTCTATAAGATAAAACCTACCATACTAAAATGTTCATTTTCTTTGCTATAATCAAGTAAATTAAATGAGGCAATACTAAGTATTTCATGCTAATCATAAGCTATGATTGGTAGCTATGTCTTTAAAAAGAAACTGATTACTATTTAATAAATTGGTTTAATACAGAAAATGTTTTAAAAAAAGGAATCCATAGAGGAAGAAGAGTGAAGACGATCTCTGGTGCTATAGAGGTGGGAAGCCACAGGTAGAGCCAGCAAGGCCCTGACCTGCAGGTTAGGACTTGCCCTTCACCTCTGGCCTGATGTAAAAAGAGCAGAAATACTAGTGGGAAAGTTTTGATTCAATGTTCCTGCTAAAGCTGCAACTGAACATTCATATACTCCAACTTATGACATAAACTGAGGTGGCAGATGCCCATTTGAACCTTCCTGTCAAACAGCAGGACACAACTGGAACAAGGGTCTTAGTACAGGGAATTGCATCCAAAACAACGAACATTTTCCACGCTCCAGATTTCCATTCAGACAAGCAGAGGTGGGAATGGAAACTACTCTTGGGAGTATCCCCTCGCAGCCTGGGTTTCAGATGATGGAAACACTTTGTCTGATCAGCACACATTAACTGAGAGGTTGGGCAGATTCACACATTCATCCTCGAAGCCATGAGCCATAAAGAAAGCCAAAGTCAATGTACAGTCTATGTTTCAGGGCCCTCATAACCAAGGTCACATAACATGGGGCAACACACCTTAAATACCATCATAACTGCCAGAGGGACCCAACGATATCTACATTTAGCTGATTTGAGCTTGAGCAGGTTTAGGGAACTGAAGTTTCTGTCATGATACATTAGTTTACATCCCTTTTCCTGTCTCTTAATCCCAACCCTTATATGTACCCATCATCCCAAATGCTGCAGGTTCCCTTGTCTCTTCTCCCCTTCCCTGTAACACTATTACAAACGGAGTAACTTCTAGGACCAATGATATCTTCCATACTCACTTTAAGCACTGACCACATCTGGCCCAATCCTCTCACCCTTTACTATCCTGCCACCAACCACCACTCTGTCCCTACTGAACAACTGGGAGAAGGAAAAACCTTTCCATTCTCTTTGCTAAAAAATTCCTTTTCACTATAACGTCCGTCATGGAAAGAGTGGTGAGCCAGGACAATTCAATTCAACCAGAGACTTTCAAGTGGGCCTTGTGGAGTCCTGCAAGTGACTGCTGAAGAAAGGGTGGCAGTTACCAGGCTTTGAGTGTGCTTCTTCTGCCCTTTAATCAGAGCAGCTCTGAGCTTTTACTTTACATATAGGTTCTGATTACTTTAAGACAAGGTTCCTCAGATTTTAAAAGTTGGAAAACTGCTTAGCATGGGGCACTTGGTACACAGTGGGCACTCAAATCATTTAATGAATGAATGAAAACCAAAAGGACTGAGGTGATCTCTAAGATCCCTTCCAGCTCTGACCTCCCATGGCTGTTTAACATGAATTAGAGTCAAGTGCTGCCTCTCTACCTATTTGTGAAGGTACTGAGACTTCTGCTTGTTCCTTCACTTTGAGGGAATCATGCCCAAGGCTGATTCTAGAAAATGATCACTGGGTACAAGGATTCAAATAGTTGATCTTTGGCAAGTAGGAAAAAGTATAACTTAAAGGACATCCAGGTCTATGTCTTTGAAGTAGAAGAGTCCAAATGTTAGAAAAATGTCAAGATAACAGGCCAGTAATAACATCACATCCCCTCTAAAGACAACTGAAACATAAGTAAAAGGGCCAAAATAAATCCTACATCCCTTAAAAATTCTTCTGAACATCATCACTGCACACATCCCAATCTATAGGTAATGAATCAAGATGACTTTGACTTACTCTGTGATTTTGGGGTCCAGGTTGCCAATCCATAACCGGTGCCCTTCCTGTAGGGAACCCTCTGACAGGATGGATGCGTTCTCCAACGGAAGAGTTTTGGTTTCTGCTTCCATCAATCTCTACAAAATACTAAAGGAAATGTGATCTTTCAGGCAGAAGAGCAACACTATGTGAACATGAGATTTCAAATTCAGTTCAACAAACATTTATTCAAGGAGGGCCTGCCCTGGACAGTCCTTCAAAGGCCTCAGCTCTTCCACAACCAGGCCCCAGCACCAGTTCCCTTGGGACAGCTCCTCTGGCAGCCAGAAAGCAAAAGCTTCCATTTAAGGTGAAAGGGGTGTGGTTCTGTGTGTAGAAACTAAAGTTTTCCTCTTCTGAAGCCAGAGGCTGACTGGGCAGGAGGCCAAAGTCTCTATTACTACACGATACTCCAGTTTAAAACTATCACCCAAAATAAACCTTGGAAACCACCAGAAAGAGAGGCTTAATGACACTGAAAAAGATGGGTAAGGAGGAACAGCAGTATACTTCTTCCTTATGAAAGAGGCAGTATAGGAAATTTAAGGCCATAGATTTTGGTGTTAGAACTGAGTTTGAAAGCAGGATGTGTGACTTGCTAAATTACCTAAACGTTTTAGGTCTCTGTTTCCTCATTTATATAAATGGAAATAGTAGTTCTTATCTTATAAAGCCATTGTGAAGATTAATGATCGTGCAAGAAAAACATCACTAAACACTGCATTTGACAACAGTAGATAATCAATAAATATTAGCTATTACCATGTTTAATATTGTGAGAGACCGGGAAGAAGAGAGTAAGTTCCTCCTTAGTTATTCCATTTCTACCATTTACTAGCTCTGTAACCTTGGGCAAATTACTCAATCACTCTGTGCCTGTTTCCCCATCTGTAAAATGGGAATCATACTTCATAAGAGTTTTGCAGATTCACTGAATTGATAAACCTAAAGCACCTAAGAAGCATTCAATTAATGTTAGCTTAAATTATTACTAGTCTTAGTTCCTGAAATGTCTCATCTCACTGACAAGGAAGGAAGATGAGCATTATGATGGAGACAGCAGTGGAAAGAGCAAAAACCTGGTGTCAGAAGACCAGGTTTCAAATTTTGACATTTCCACTGGAAGTCACTTCTCTCTAAGCTTCAGTTTCTCATCTCTGCACAATAAGCATTGCCCTGCTTATACCTTATGGTTGCTCAGAGGACAAAGATGAGATGCCAGATATAAAATGCAGCGTTCATAAATGTATACTGTGGTGGAGAAAGAAAAAAGCGCTGGGAAGGTGGCAGGCTGTGCCAGACTTTAGAATGCCCTGCTAGAGAAAACATGTGTCCTATATACCCAGAAGTGCCTGAGGTCAGTGCAGCAGGAGCTGTTTAATAACATCAGCTGACACACGCAGAACAGGGGCACCACCTCCTATCATCTCAGCACAGCCTATAAAGTCTAGCACACAGTAGCCCCTAGGTAATTGTTTGTTGACCATGTTTATCTATCCCCACACAAGGGTATTCTTCCTTTCCCACTCGCATGTTCAATCTGTTCAGCAATGTGCGACAAGCAACCACTAACTGCTAAACCCCTGGGCTGTGCGCTGAAAATAAGAGAAATGAATAACCCATAGCTCTTGCTCTTACCTAAGAGAAAGGCGAAACAAAACATAAACAGAATCCCAGGAGTGGAAATGGGAGGAGAAACATTTTGTCTTCTCCCTGCTTTCCTTTCCTCCTACTTTCTTCCAGATCATTCATTCAAAATTTTGTTGAGGTTCTATTTTCTAGGCATTGTTTAGGTACTGGGGACAGAGCAGTGAACAAGCAAGGTCTCTGCCCACAGGGTGCTTGTATGCGGAAGAGGGCAGGGCAAACAAAAGCAAAATAAACAAACAAGAAGTAATAATTTGTGGTAAGTGCTGCAAACAATTAAGCAAGGTGATTTGACATGGAGACTGGGGCTGCACTACTTAATAACTAGTGGAGAGGAAAGGCCTCTAAAGGAGATGACATTTGAAGTCATAGGACCTTCTGATTTTCTCATGTTTAAAAATAGCAATGATACTGACAGCTGCTCAGTATCACAGAAGGGTACCATATTCAGTGGGAAGAGCCCAGGAAATGGGCCCAAAAGATCTGCATTCAAATCCTGGTTTTTGCACCCAGTTACTGTGTGACTTTAGTGAGCCATGTTCTCCCCTTAAGAGTCTTCTTCTCAGAAAAGCTTTCCTAATAGAATGAGCTCCATTCCAGTCTTTATCACAGCCCCCTTTTTCTTTCCGCACAATTCTAATTCATTCGCTGTTATTTACCGTTTTATCTTCTGTTTCCCTCACTAGAATGTAAGCTACTAGAGGGCGGGGCCTTGCCTATTTTGATCATGGTTCTGTTCCCAGCACGGCTCGTGGCCGGTGCTCAGCATTCACTGAATGAATGAAGCCAGCCCCGTTTCCACACGGAACCTCAGTTTCTTCTTTCTTCCCAGGACGGGCACAATTATCCCTAACTCACGGGTCGTTATGAGGCTTAAATAAGGCGGTATCCGCGACAGCTCAGCACAACGCTTTTTGAGAAACGGTCGAGTGTAATTTGAAATCAAGATGGCACGAGACTTTCAAAATCCTTCGAGTTTGCAACGGCGACAACCCCTTAGCTGAGCTGCAACAACTCTGGAAGCCAGGAGCAGTCATTTGGGGAAAACGAAGCGCAGAGAAGCAAAGGGCTAACTGTCAACGGCGGGGTCAGGCGTGGAACCCCGGCTTCCCAGGCCAGGCCTCGAATTCCCAGGCGCGACCGGTCACTACTCGGATTGTTATTTCCGGGCCAGCGGCGGGACAATCCGGGGCGGGGCCTGAGAAGCGTCCTCCCGGGCAGCCTCCCCCAGAAGGCCCTCCGGGGTCGCGGCTGCGGTGCAGGGGGCAGGACTCACCTCTTGGCCTCGGCGTCTTCCCCCCGGCTCATGCCCCCAGAGCAGCTTCCAACCCCGCGGTCGACGACGCTCCAGGCGCGTCAGTCCCAAAGTAGCCGGCTACCAGGCCGCGGGTGACGCACTACGCCTGCGCCACCGCCCCGCCCCGCCCGTGACGTCATGACGCCAGCGCCGCCGCCGTCCCTGCGTTCGCCAGAGTCTTTTTTTTCCTAATAACCTGGGCGATAGCTGGTGAGTGGTCTCGGCACGGCCTGGAGGCGCGCGGGGGCCCGGTGCCGGAGACCTCTGCTCAAGGGCCTAATGGGGACCTGAGGGGGCCTGACCGTGTCCCCCGACGAGTCCCAGTCGAGTCCGGCTTGACCTTTAAGGCAGGGGGCGGGACCTCTAGCCTCGGAGCCGCCGTCAGTGGTGGGGGCGGAACACGTGCCGTCAGCTAGGAGCTCGGAGGGTTCGCTGGGTCGGCGGTCGCTCACTAAACTGGACCCGCTGTTTAGTAGCCCCCCCCCCCACTTGGCAGGATTATTAATTTTCAGAACAGCATCACGGGTGTAGATATTATTATTCCCGTGATGAGGGGACGGAAGCTCAGAGCACTAATTTTACCAGGGTCACGTGGCTAGTAATTAATGGAACATAAATCCCAAAGCCTCAACTTTCAGCCATTACTCTGTGCCGTCCGGGGGAGAACAGCTGTCATCTCAGTAGCCCTTCTGTGTTTGCAGAGTGCCTCTGCAGCCCTTATTTCATGCGATCGACCCGGTATCCGGGGCAAATGGTATTGGCATCTGCATTCTACAGATGAGGTTGCGGTCCAGAGAGTGTGACCCATCTAAGGTCACATATGCAGTAAGTGCTGGAACCAAGGCTCGCTTCCAGGTCTTCTTTCCAGTTTGGTGCCTTTTTCCTTTCACCACATTCTGTTGCATTTCTAAGAATCTTGGAGAGTTTAATAATTGGAAAGAATGAAAACCTGGCCTGACTCCTTATTTTACAGTTGAGGAAACAAGACCTAGGTGGGAGAAATGACTTGGTACCAGCCACAAGTCAGTAGGAGAGCTGGCCACAGATGCTTTTTGGATGCAAGGTGCTTATGAATCTAAAAGGGATGGTTGGCAGGGAGTGATGAGGTAGGAATACTGGAATGCAGACTTCCTACCTCTTAGGCAAAAGCTCCTTCTCCCTCTGTTAAAGTGTCTCATCCCTCTTTTGGCTGTGCCAGGGACTTGATTCTATATATAGTCAGATACTATAAATAACTTTACATGGCCCTGAATTTAGAGAAAAACACGGCTTACTATCTCTAAGTGAGAATTTGGCAAATGAAGCAGTGTTGGGAAGTGGAGCTCAAGGAGCTACTGTCTGCGGCTTACATTCCAATTCTGGTGCCAGCATTGTTACCTTGGTCAAAGGCTTAGTTATTCTAGACTTTCATTCATGTATCCATTTCACTTATTCAGTGTCTTCTGTGTTCAGGGACTGTGCCAGGCACTGGGGATACAGCAGTGAACAAGACAAGTATATGCCAGTCCTGGTAGTGCTTATGGTCTCATGGAGGGAATTAGACTGGTCAAACAGCTACACAACGTTAACTGGTATTGTTAAAGTAAGTGCTATAAAAAAGATTAGGGTGCTATGAAAGTGGACCGCAAGACATTTGACCTAGTTGGGCTGGTGGAGATGGCCAAGGAAGGCAGTCCTCTGAGGAAGTGATGCTTAAGCTGAGATCTGAAAGAAAAATGGGAGGTAGTTCGTTACAAAGGTGGGTGAAGAATGTTCCAAGTAGATCCAACAATATGTCTGAAGACCCTGGAACAGGAGTATTCAAGGAAATGAAAAATCAGTTTGCTTATTTGTAAAATGTCAATAATAATCACGACTCTGGTTATCATAGGAATCAGATAATCCATGTTGTCAACATAAGAAATGTCTAAACCTGTAGAGAATTTTTATGAGTCTATTTGAGCCCAAACTGACAATTTCTGGGAAGCAAGATCTCAAAAGCTCCAGAGAGTGACAGTTTGCAGCTTCTCTATGCATTTGGAATTAAGGAGGGGACATAAGATAACATTAGGGTGGGAGAAAACAAGGCAGGGGTTGGATTACAGTTATATATATTTAAAAGATTATGCTGTCTTGAGAGTAGTTACTTTGAAAAAGAGGCTTTTCAAAGGGGTGTTAACCTAGATGCACAGAAGCAATGGGCAGGGTTAGTTAAGGCAAAGACAAACTTTTTACTAAAGAAGGTATATTTCTGACTACACACCATGGCCTGCCCAGTTAGGAATTTATGATTAGATCACCATGTGAGGTTATTTTCTGTAGAACCCTTTTTCTGTCCATAATGTGAAAGTATTTTATATACATCAAGGGCCTGTGTGTGTACACCCACATTTATAAAAAGGTACACATTATAAGCTAATACACAGCTGGATTGGGAGGGGTTGCTGAGACAATGGATAAGCCAAGACTTAGTGTTCCTCATCTAGTTCTTTCCAAAATTCATATGCACCTTCTTTGAAAAATAATAGAAAATTCAAGGTTTGAGAACCTCAACTTTGGAAGAAAAATATGTGCTTCAAGTAGTTTTTTAAAAAATAACAGTTTGAATAATAATGCCAGTAATCATACTCAGTGTTTTATGTACACAGTATAGTGTAGTAGATAAGAGCACAGACTCAGGAGCTAGACAGCCTGGAATAAATTTGTGGGCAAGTTATCTGTACCTCTGTTTCTTTATCCATAAAATGGATATAATAATAGTACTCCCCGCAGAAGGTTATCATAAGGCTCAAATAAGTTAATGTATGCAGTACAGCAATTAGAATGGTTTCTGGCACATGGTTCTCACTATATAAGTATTAGCTATGGTTTCATTATTATTGTTACAATTATCTTTTTAAAGGCACATTAATATCACCACGATAAAGATGCAGTGGAAACTGTAGCTCAAAAAGGTTAAATGATTTATTCAAGGTCACATAGCTAGTAAGTGGGGGAACTGAGATTCTAGTTCAAGACTGCATCCAAAGCCAGATGCTTCCTGCCACGTTTTTTCTGAGTATAGGTTAATTTTGTTGGATAATACTTGGGCTCCTGTAGCAGGTCCTTTCCTTGACTTCATCTGTGCTGAACTGAGTGTTAATATGCATGTCCTTAAAGTAGCAGGTCCAAGGGGCTGCCTTTATTGAACTTCTACTTTGAAATTTCCTGACTTCTGTGCAATTAAAATCTACGCCTTAAGCATTTCAGCTATGTAGTTTATTTATAGAGTTGGCTTCCGGTTCACGTGTACTGGGTCTGCTTTTGGGTGCTGCGTTTTCTGGCAAAGGTTGTTTATTTCTAACCCATTTTTGATATCCTGTTGCTTTCTGGATTGGTATTATATGACCTGCAACAGGAACACCAGGAAACCTGTCTTAAATGGAGTAGCCAGATTGAGACCCTGTAGGTTAAAAAAACAAAAAGCACACATTATTATACAGCCATATTTGGATAGACGTGTGGGTTAAGCATTGGCTATATTAGGCAAAAACCTAGATATAGAAACCTACTTAGAGCCAATCTTTTGTGAACAGTTTTGCTGAAATAGGGCAAAGCTATTAGCTCCATGCCCTTGGACAGCCACAGTCTCTTTGAGCCTCAGTTTCTACATCTGTAAAGTGGAGATTATTATTTCTTTGTGGCATTATTAAAAGCATTAAGTGAAATGCACATACTATGGATAAAGCAAGCAGCCCAGACCCGACTTCAATTAATAGTAGCTATTGGTAATAATTAAAGAGGGAGAGGAAAAAATACTCCTTTATTTTTTAAATCCAGATCTGTTTTTACTGACTTCATACACTGATCACTGACATCTAGCATCTCTTGCTATTAAAAACTCCATTGGGAGAAATTATTTGCCTTTGTGCTACTATTTTTTCTTTTTTAAAATAATGGTAGTGACGGCTTTCACTGAGCAGGCGCCATGTTCCTGGCACTGTCCTAGGTGTTTTACGTGTATTCGGCATCTCATTTTAAGATCAGGATATTTTTCTCATTTTGCAGATGAGGAAAGTAATACCCAGAAAAATGGAGTGAATTGCCCAAAGTTGACATTTACATTCAGATCTGACTGACTCGGGGCTACCTGAACATCAGTAGTAACATGCAAGATTTCTTTCCTGTGGCGGAGCCCGCCTTGGAAGTCATTGAAAGGAACCAGTGTCAAAGCTATGCATAGATATCCCCGCTGGGGACTCGGGCTCCCTGCTAGCCACGGGGCAAGTCTTTTATCTGCATAAACTCATTTATTCTTCCCAACCCTAAGAAATAACTATGATTATCCCCACGTGCCAGCTGGGGAAATCGAGGTGCAAGGATGTTCAGGGACATTTAGTTAGGATGGAGCTGGCACTGGATTCTGAGTTTTCCTGGCTGCAGATCCCACATTCTCAGTCTGTTGTGCTGCATCAGAATGTTAGGATGGGATTTCTTTGCTGTTGTTTTAATGAAGTCTGAGACTGATTTCCAAAGATTGTAGCTTCCAGGTATTTGAGGCTAATTGTTCTTAATTTTTAGCTGAGTAATAGGCAGGTGCTTGATGGACACACATTTGTCAGTTCACTAGGGCTGTGCTTTCTCTCGGAGGTAGCTGTAGGCTCCAGCATCTTTCCGTAGTCGTAGACCTCAGAAGTATAATGTGCAACTTGTGTTACACACAGAGAAGGGCGGCATTTTCCAGAGCTTTAGTTCTGTAACATGGAAGACCTCAAACCTCAGCCATGCTTCAGACTCACATTAAAGTAAAGTGCATTCTAATCGGTAATCAGTGCATGAGGAACCAAAGAAAATCTTAATTAAATGCTGTCGTGTGAATTTTCCAGTCATTTCATGCCTGTTGAAATGGTTTTCTTATTTAAAGTCCTTGTCCAGTGCTCTGCCCTCCCTTTTTATAGTGTAACTTTATCAAGATTTCGTGCCTTTTCTCCTATAAGGATTTAATTAGCATTGCTTGCTTAGCTCCGTGCTCCCTGTGTGCTAAGAAGCATTTGGTGCCATGCAGTGAGCATGGTGACTTGGAGTGCAACAGATGGGCCAGTTACTTCAGTTCCTGTCACCCTCAGTTTCTTTGTCCTGTAAAATGGGACTAAACATATTTCCTTGGAGGCTGTTGGGAGGAGGGTTAGAGATAATGTATTTAAATTGCCCGGCACACAGCTCCGTTTATAGGAGTTGTTTGATAATTGGTACAGATTATTTTCTGAAGTAAGAGAGTCTGTTTTATTGAGATTTCCTTTTTTCTCACTCATTTCCGCAGATGTTCACACGGTCTGTCTTCTGCCATGGCCTTGGGTTTAAGGTGCTTCCGCTTGGTCCACCCTGCCGTTTGCAGTTCCCTTGCAGGCTTGACCAGGCCTGTTTCAGAAGTTACGCTGAGGACAGCGAGTGGAAGACAAGATGACCACAGGCAATGCATGGCCTATCCAGCTGTACCGACCCGGCATTTTGCTACCAAGAAAGCCAAAGGTAGAGACGCGTGACCTCCTCACCCCTTTCTTGTATTTAGCCCTTGAATTATCATAGCTGGAAGGCTATCAGAGATGTATTGAATTCCTCCCCTCGCCACATGAGGAAACGGTTTCCCAGATAGTACAATTGATTAGCTTAAAAGGCTATAGCGGTAGAGAACCTAAGGTCTGTTTTCTCATTACCATGTTGCCTCATATGTTACCATGGCTCAGAAATGCCTAATTTCTTTCTTTAAATTTAGAATTAGAGGTATAAGTGCCAAGCACACCAGAATGCTTGAGGCAGGGATCTACCTATTTTTCCTTATAGTAAGATCTGTGTTGGAAGTAAAATTAAAACCAGAAGGTTGTTGGGTAAGGGGTATTAGAGCTATGGTTTTAGATGGATGATCTTAATGGTTTGTGTCATCCAAGAATGAGACTTTGATATACCCCAGATCTCAGCTTAAATGTCGCTTCCTCAGGGAAGCCTTCCCTGACCTCTTAGGCTGGGTCAGGTCCCCTGTTGCATGCACTCGTGCACACTGTTATTTTACCTTTGATGTACTTAGCCCAGCACTCATTAATTAGTTAATTCACTGAAGGTTTGATGATTGTTTGTTATATGTCTTCCATGCTGGACCCAATGAGGGTAGGGCCTATGTTTTTCTTGGTTAGCATCTAACAGGGCCGGACAGTATGTATCAAAAACTTTTGTTGAATGAGCGAGTGACAGAAAATTGTCAAGCAGACCTGCTCTTTGCAGTGGTGGGTCAGGGAGTGCACTCCCAAGGATGGTGCTAGAAATATGCTGCTGAGTATTTTTTCCATTGACTTTCCTTTTACGGTTTCATGCAGACATTCCCTTTTCAGTTAATAGGAAAATTAACAAGTCACTGAAAGATTATTAATGCATAGAAGACTTCTATCTTGTTAATAGTGACAACAGTAATAACTTTTGATTTGTATGTTGTATTAAAATTTGTAAAAATTCAACTACATTTAATAACTTAATCCTTATAATTATCCATTGAAGGAATTATAATTACCCAGTGAAGACATGCTTATAATTATTTAGTGAAGCACAGATCTCACCACTTTGCAAATGAGGAAACATGAGGTACATGTGTGAGACGTTTACCCATGGCCACACTGAGTCAGTGGCAGGACTGACGACTCGGGGCTCCTGATGCCTACTTCATTGTAGTCTTTCAGTAGCTACACATCAGCTACAGCATGTGAGCAGCATCTTTTCATATTTAATTGGCTATTTAGTTTCTGTCTTCTTCGATTGCCTCTCTAAAAAGTTGGTTTGACGTTTTCTTTTAGTTTTATTGGTTTCTTTTTATATTAGGAATGCTAATCCTTTGTTGATTGTGTCCCAAGTATTTCCTTAACTTTTTACTTTATGGTGTCTTTTGTATCAGGCTCCTTATCTGTAAATTTTAACATGAATACTTGTTTTTTAAAAATCTAAAATTGAAAAAATTATTTCCATTGTTTCTAGCTTCTATTGCTGCTCTTGGAAAGTATACTATTGTTCTAAACTTTGATCCTTTTGGATAATCTGTCTTTTCTTGTTGGTTATTTGTAAGGTCGCTTTATCCTTGGTTTTCTGCATTCACAAGAGTCTGAGTGTGAATTTACTTTTACTCTTCTGTTTGGAATTTGTGTTTCTGAATCTGAAGATTTACATCTTTCATTGGTTGTGAAAATTCTAAGTCAGCCTGTTAAGAGCAATGCGGTTTTAAGCATGATGGTGAATAAATGTTTGAAAAAAATCGCTTGCTGCTTACTGGTTGGTTACTTTGGGCAAAACATTTAAGTGGCTCGTGCCTTAGATTTCTCATCTGTACAGTGGGGACGGTAATAATCTCTTTTCATCCTACTTCAAAGCTGCTTTGAATATCTAATAGAAGAATGTATTTGAACTTGCATTGCAAATTATAATGTGCTATACAAATAGCACAGGATTTAGCTCACTGTCGATGTTCAGTAATCTTTATTGTGAACGAATTTCAATAAATGTTTGTTGAATATTTAATAAATAAACAACTGTAGGATAATATTATTTAAATATTTTATTTTATTTTCTTCCCTCACCTTCCATAAAGAAATGCGAGAATATTTGTATTACTCACTGAAGCGATCTATGTATATACACATTAGAGAATGTATCTGAAAAATTGCCATGATGGTTTAGACGTAAAACAGAACTTTATTTAGGTCCCAATGCTGTTGATTTTTAAAATATAAGCCATTGTCACTACCATTGGGGTGGTTAATGTTTCTGAAGTACTGTTGTTCTCTTTGTCTGTGCCAGCCGTCAGATACTTTGCATGTCCTTGTCTTAGTGTTCCTTTTAAATTAATTAACATATTTCCCGTATCTCCAATTAGACTTTACAGAGGCAGCCTAGTGAAAAGTCAAGACCTTTAAAATTAGGAAGATCTGGGACCAAATCTTGGTTTTACTCTTTCATGACCTTGTGACATTAGGCAAGTTATTTTACCTTTTTCATCTTCTGTTTATTTTTCTGAAAAATAAGGCATTCACTTATGGAGTGCCTACCATGTGGATAGTGCTCTTTTAGGTAACCGTATTACTTCATTTATATCCATGAAGCAACCTAGCAATATAGATATAATCCCTATTTTACAGGTAAGGAACGTGACACTCAGAGAAATACAGTAATGTGCCTGAGGTGATAAGGTTAGTCTGCATCATAGCCAGGATTTTTCCTGGGGTAGCTCTGTGTAAAGTCTGTGCCTTCTCCAGGATCTGAGAAAGTGTTTTTAGACACCATGCTGGGTCTTTAGCAGATGCTCAATAAATGGAGGCTTTTTAGAGGGCAGTGATAATGTTCTCTGATTATCCAGCACTTGGAATTTTGTCCTGCACATAGTAGGCCCTCCTTCACTGATTGTTCATTGTCTCTGTTTATTGTCTGCTGATCTTTTATTCACTGAATTCTGACTTTCCAGCCAAAGGGAAAGGACAGACCCAAACCAGAGTGAATCTTAACGCGGCCTTGGTGGAGGGTATAATCAGCTTGGAGGAGGTGGAAGAAGAAATGAAGTCAGTGATGGAAGCGCTCAAGGACAACTTCAATAAGACTGTCAATATAAGGACCTCACCAGGTTAGTGACTGAACCAATATTTTGGAGAAGGGCGTAGGGGAAAGATTATGGCTTTGGCAGAGCTGTGTTTCGGTTCCAGCTTTGACACTTGCTACCTGGAGACCGTGGGCAGTTACTACACTTTCCTGGTCCTCAGTGTCCTTGTCTAATTCCTACCTTATAGCTTCCGGTGGGTATTAAAATAAGTGAGGTAGCATATGTAATGGTTCTGGCACAGTGACTGGCACAGAGTTGACCTTTAGTTATCCCTTCAGCAAATGTGTGTCTACTATGAACTGGGCATTCCGCCGGTGCACAGCAGTGAATAAAACAGGCATGTGCTTTGCTCTCGTGGAATTATACTATCAAAAATGGGGAGTTTTATTACTATTATGATTATAACAAACGCTATATATGCTTCTAGGTATTTAGTCTCGTAGCAACTGACATCTTTGGTCTGATTTTTTCCAATTTGTTTCCTTGCTGGGAAGCAACTGGCTGCAAACCTGCCCACCTGAGGCACTGCTGTACCCCTGAGCTTGACCAGGAAGATTACGTTCGGGTTAATAACTTCCTGAAAGTGGCTTTTCTAAGTGGGAAATGTCAGAACTGTCTAGAAGAACTGTTTGCAGATGTGATGGAAGAAGTGAGTTGTCAGCTAATGGTACAGGCAGGCAGGAAAAATCCAATTGCTGTTAAATTGGCGTTTTGGAAATTGTCATCCTAGAGTCAAGCCTGGGACCCCCTCTGAAGGTATCTGTGGGAGCCTGGGCGGTTCCCACTCATATCTTGGTTTGGATAGTTCATAAGGAAACTAGAAAATATTTCATGAACTTGTTCATAATAAAACCAAGGGAAAAAGATACAGCTCCGCTTATAAACACCAGCAGAAACAGTAATACCGAGTTCAGCGACAAGATCCAGTATGAAACCAGAAGGCCATTCCGTCATTTGTCAGCCTTTAGACTGGGGCATTTCTGCTTTTGCTGACAGTAGAGCGTGCCATTCAATCTCTCCCAACTGTTTATTTTAAACTTGCTTATTATTTTAGGTATGAAACTGATAAAGTGCTTTGTCTCCCCTGTGCTTTCTGGCCTGTTAACATTCTGCAGCCGAAACCAGAGAGTAGTTTGAGAGGAGCTCAGGGAGAAATGTGATACTTAAAATTAGCCAGCAAGCTCCACTCTTGTTGAACTTAAAAAGATGATGGGCCTGGAAAGAGGTTGGGAGTGTAATTTGTTAAAAGTTAACCTCTGAGAAAATACGGGGCAGGAGTGAGGCTGAGGGAGGCTCTCGCTGGGGACAGATTGAGGGGAAAGGATTTGGAGTGTTAAGTGGCTCTGGATTTAGGGAATGGGAACACCACGCTGCGTCCTGGGAAGCCCACGTAGGGCCGTCTGTGGCAGAGGGTCTTAGGCGAACCGGGAAGGCTGAATTAAGATCCACTTTCAAAAGGCCTCCCGTTGGTATTTCCTCTTTGCTTCTTTCCCTTTAGGATTATGTTTGTGTAACGTTCTATGTAGAACTTGGGGCCATGAAGAGACCGGGTGAAACAGGCTGAACGTAACCAGTCTTTTTTTGACTAGATTCTTCCATATTATCTTTCATTACTGTCTGAACCAGCAGGCACTTTTCTTCTTACACCCCGATCTGGCTACTAACAGTTTCTATCTTCAAGGTAGTTGGTTGTTTTTAATAGTTGTCTAAGATACAGGTCTATTTGTCCATTCTTGCCCTCTCTCAGTCATCCATCCATACAGATATTCACTTACTCATCACAGCATTACTGAACACTTATTTTGTGTTGATTAATTGGTGCCATAGACGGAGAAAAGACACTCTCCCCACCTTCCCAGAGCTCTAATGCGAAGGGACAGACGTAAACCAAAATGTGTAAAATCATAGTAAAGCAGACTGGTGAAGACCGTAGCTTTGGAGTTGGTCAGATCTGCGTTTGAATTCAAGCTCCATTATTAAGAGCTCTAGTGCCCTTGAGCAAGTTACTCTCTGTGCCTCTGTTTCCTCATCTGTAAAATGGTGGAACTGTCTCAGGGTTATTGTGATAATGAAAGAAAATAAATTATAGAAGCAGTTAGCACAATTTCTTGCTCATAGGAAGTATTCAGCAAATACTGGTTATCATTGCTATAGAAGTTTGCATAGGATGCTTGGGAGCTCATGAGGGGGCTTGGAATCCAGCCTAGGTGCTCAGATAGGACTTCTGAGGCTAGGAGCTATTATAACTGAGGGTTAAAGAACAAATGGGAGTTCTCTGAGCAACAAGCGCATTCTCAGCAGGAGGAAAAAATGTGCTAAAGGACTTCAGGCTGTATTAGAGAAACGGTAAATAGGATAGTTTGGTTAAAACATAGGAGAAAGTCAAGAAGCAAGAGTAATTATCACTCATTGCGCACTTATATATGCCAGGACACGGCTGTAAGTGCTTTCCGTAAACTCTTTTATTTAATCCTCATAACAACCCTATAAGTACAATTTTTATGCCCCATTTAGAGATCAGGAAACAGACATTGAAAAAGTTGAAGAGATCTTCCCAGGGTCACACAATCAAGAGGTAGCAGAGTTGCTATTTGAACCTAGGACATTTGTCTTCAGAATCAAGGAAACTTACTGTTATACCTCCTGGACTTTTCTGGACTGATGCCAGTGGTATCAGCCATCCTCTCTTTGTGATGACATGAGTCTGGTTGAGTATCCCTAATCAGATCTTGGGCCATATTGTGGCACTGAATTATCCTGACAGCGGTTTGCTGGGACAGCTCCCCGTTTGTTTAAAAGACCCCTTTCCCCCCACAACTCCTTTCTCTTTGTGTCTCAGACTGAGGCACCCATGAGTGGTTCTTACTGTGAATAGTAAGGTTTTTTTCCTCTAGTTCTCTTTTCAATGGGAAATTAGGAATTTTAAATAATGCCCCTTTTCTATCTGTAACTGTGGCTTTATTTCCGTGTGTTACTGGGTTCCTGAAAATTTTGCCCAGGGTTTTCTAGAATTCAGATGTGGATGAAGATCAGATCAAGGGTAACAGTTAAGTGTTAATAGTTGGTGTTTGTTTGCTTGTTTCTAAAGGGGATCTAAGTACCAAAATCAAGGTGGGTGGTATAAGGAAATGGTTTCAAACGTGGCTGCATGTCAGAATCATGCGGTGATCTTTAAAAAATTACAGGCTCCCCTAAATCACAGGTTCCTAAGCCCCTGTCGAACTGGGATCTCTGGGGTGGGGCCCAGGAATCTAAATTTAAAAGCTTCCTGGTGATTCTGTTGCACAGCCAGATTTGAGTTCCATTGGTATAAGGGAAAGAACCTTGACTGGAATCGGAACTAAGCATACCTGAGTTTGAGGCTTGGCTCCTGGGTGTTTTTTGTTAGCTTGGGTGATCTTGGCCCATCTAAACTCCCAAGTCTCCTTTTTCTCTTGAGTAAAATGGAGATGATAATACAATGCTACGGAGTAGTTATAAGAACTAAAAGGGTTAAGAGATATCCTTTTATGTGCTTGTTTTTTTGGTGCTTACACACTTGGTTGTTTATATTTAGCTATAATCCTCACTTTAATCCTGTAAGGTAGTTATTTTTTGACTGAGTTGGAAACCAGCTATAGAGAGGATAAATAACTTGCCCGAGGTTTCATGGTTAGTAAATGGCAAAGTTGCTGGAGGGGTGACCAACTCTTTTAGTCTTAGCTCTAAAGTCCTGTGTCACAGGCAACCCCTTAGGCCCAGGCACACCAGGACACCTGGCCACCCAGGTTGCTGATAGGAATTCCAGCCTAGTTCTGTCAACATGTCGAAGCTCTTTCTATCATGTGACACTGCTGTTTCTGTGAAAGCCCCTGGAATGGTCTTGCCACATGGATAAGGGACCCTAAATATTAGTTGAATCTCAGTTAGATAGGGACTTGGTGTACAGCTACTAAGGTCCTTCTGAGCTCTAAGACCCTATCATTTATTTTTAGGATCCCTTGATCACATTCCTGTGGTCACTGAGGATGGGAAGCTTGCTTTAAACCAGATTGGCCAGATCTCCATGAAGTCGCCACAGCTGATTCTGGTGAATATGGCCAGCTTCCCAGAGGTAAGGTCCCTTGGAATGGAGGAAGCTGGGTCAAGTCAGAAGGAAACATTCCCTCCAGCTTGGGATGAAACAAGAGAGAAGGCATAACAAAGGGCACTCAGGGATAAGGGAGAGCTCTTTCCTGTTTCTGAAGTCCTTTTCTGTTAGACTCGAACACTATAGGAGCCAGGCAGGTAATCTGAATACTGCAACAGGCCCCATCTAAGAACAATAGTGGCAATGCAGCGATGGGCGCTTGGCCAACGTGGAGGGGACTGTGATAAACTGGAGAGCCTGTGCCCTGCTGAAGGGAGCAGCCTCTGCCCAGCTCCTGCTGATCATTGCCAGGCAGAAAAGTAGGGCCTGGTAATTAGCATTACCAGATACTAAGATTTTTATTTCCAGAAGAAGCCAGTAATCCAAATTTTTATGTAAGATCCTTGTTAAATATTGATAACTAATTCACTTGTTTTTTAAGATTGTGAGAAAGAAACCACATTAATGAGCGACCAGTTTGTGAGCTCTGCATTAGTCCTTGGAGCAGAGCCTCCAGGAGGTCACATTGCAGAATATTGCCCAGGGCACTGCTTCCAAGGCTGGAAGGTGGGCCTCATTACTATTGCAACCTCGGGCTGTGATTTTAAGTCTAGGTGAGGAAGGTAATGGGCTTTTCCTTATGGTTCAGTGGGAATGGACCTGGATTGGGAGTCCTGGAGGATCTGGGACCCGGTCCCATCTCTACTGCTAGCTGGCTGTGTGACCTCGCTTCACTCTCTGGGCCTCCATTTCCTCACTTGTTAATATGGGATGAAGGAATCTGAAGCCCCTTCCTGTTCCGATGGTCTGTTTCAGTGAAGCTGCGGGATTCAACAGACTGGATTAGAGCTATGAGTAAGGAAAAGCCCTTGCTGTGAGCACTGTCAGGTCAGAGGGCTCTTGCAGCTAATGTGCCAGGCTTACTCCCCCGTTCCCTTCTCCATACTGCAGCTGGAGTGAACTTTTAAAAATATACATTGGATTATGTCATTCCCATGCTTCACATTTATCAGTGGCTTCAAGTAATCTTTAAGAAAAAGATTATGTGGCTTAAAAGGCTTTGTATGGTGTGCTCCTGCCTATATCTCCCAACGTCCCCAGCCTTGTGCCATTGTCACCCTTACATACAGCTCTAGCCACACTGATTTTTCAGTTCCTCAAACACACCACACCCTTTGCATCCTCAGATCTTTGCATGTGCTCTGCCCTTTGTTGGGAACATTCTTGCCAGGCTAATTGCAATATGTATACACACACACTCTTCCATTTATTTTTTATTGAATTTATTGGGTGACATTGGTTGGATCACAGCTTAAATGTCACTTTCTCAGGGAAACTTTCCCTAATCAATCTAAATCATTCCTCCACATTAACTTCTTTTATAGAGCACAATTCTTTTTCTTCACTGCACTTATCATTATGAATAGTTATATATTTATTTACATCTTTATTTTCCATCTCACTTTCACTAGATTGTAAGCTTGTAATGCAGGAATCATATCTAACTCTTCACTGTGTTGAGCACCTAAAACAGTGCCTGGCACGTGGAAGCACTCAGTCAGTTTTCCTCAACTGGATGAATGCTTGTTATTAAGTTGATGGAAGGGAGGCTCTCATTCCTAGTGTTACTGAGGAGCTGAGAAATGGACGAAAAGGGAACTGTCACCTCTTTCCCTTTCTGGCCCCCACTGAACTGCTGAGGCCTCTCCGCCTGGTTCATCTAATCCCACAGGCACTGCAGGCCAATTTAGGGAATAGCCTCCTAATTACACAGCTTGAAGACCTCATCAGGCAGATTGCTTTTCAGAGCCAGCCACTTCTGTTACTAAATGGCAAATGGCATTCACAGAAGCAGCGCCTGATTGGCCACCAGCGCATCTTATGAGGCAGGAGGAGGTATTAACAGCTTAATTTTTTCTTAGGAAGTTGGAGTAATATCTTCATTTTTCAACCAAAGCATCTTTACCATTTCTCCAAGTTGAAATTCTGCGGGTTTTAAAGGGGAAAAAAGCCTTTACAAGCATCTCAGTAGAGCTGCTCTTTACAAGGACAGAATGAGGAAGTGTGAGTTACATTGTCTTTTGAATTCCTTTATCTCATCTGGTGTATATATTAAACAAATAGTCTTAACTAAACATTTCCTTCCTCCACTTTAGAAGCTGGCCATAGAGTACCCAGGTTCATAGCTTCAAAATGCTGAGCTAATCCTCTCTGTGTTTATGTAATTCCTTTCTGTTTCACATGCGGTTGGCTTTCTTTCCAAACCTGCGCATTTCTGTGTCATGCTGTAGTGACACGATGCAGATTTACATGCATAATCCTTTCAAATGCATTGAAGACAGAAAACTGTGTTGCATTTGTTTAACATGTGTCCTGCTTGATAAATGATACACATAGTTGCTGCTTTCCATAAACTTGCCTGCAGCTAGAGTTAATGATGGGAAAGAAAAGAAGGGAGTAGAAAACCGCAGCATGATCTGAGCAAGGCAAATGAAAAAAAATTCTGCAGGCTCCATTATTGCCTTGTGGAAGGAAGAAAGCCAACATGTATTGAGTGTCTGCTGTGCTGCCCGCCACTACCTTCTCATGTTTTGTTTCTAGGTACCCTCTAAAATTAAGCATTATTTGTTCCATTTTATAGATGAGAAAACTGAGGCTCGGAGAAGTTAAGTATCTCACCCAGGTTCACACCATTGCGATAGAACCACGATTTGAACATCCATCTGTTTGACACTAGAGCCTGTGTTTCTTTTACCATTCATGCATTAATTCAACAAATATTTATTGAGTCCCTGCAAGTTATTAGGTTTTATCTGTGGTGCTGGAATTTGCTGACGATTAAGACAGACAAGGTTCCTGCTTTCATCGATCTTACATTCTAGGGACTCTTTGGGATACAAAGAAAATGGAACAAAGTTGACTTCAACCCAAAGGGCCAAGGACTTGTTCACCTGTCCACAGAAGTCTTATCATCTTTTGCCCTTTAGCATAGATTAACTTACGAACGGCAATGGCAGACGTTGCTAATTGATGACCACTCCTTCCTGCCTGACCCCAGATGAAGTCTGTGATCTTTCTCCACACGGTGCTGCGAGCAGCCACACCATTTGTTCAGTGTTGCTGTTTGAGAACAGCCTGTTTGCTCTGGGGTACAGGGAGCATCCTCAGTGAGGGCACAAAGGCTAAGGTAGAAGCTGGAAATGCGATAGAAATATATGCCTTTTTATCTGAACCGTGAGGAGTTCAGAAGTCATGTTGGGAAAATGACTGTAATTCCCCGAGTTTCTGCATCCTACCACATCAAACTAAAATACACATATTTAGAATACTTCAGAACTACCTCTTCTAGTAGGTTTCTCTGCTAAATGAAACCCGATTTACATTTTTTCTGTATATGAAAGGACACAGAACAATTGAAGTATAAAATAAGGTTGGGGGCGGTTATACATAAGAAGTGGAAGTCAGGAGGTGAGTTTTCTAATGGCTCTGAGTCCGTTTATTAATACATGCATTCAACGGGCTTGCACTGAGCACTGAGCCTGGTGCTGGAAAGCTGTAGATATTGGGACATAGTGTCGGGCCAGCTTGGGTCAGCAGTGGGTGCTCCTGAGCCTGCAGGGGAGGGTTGTGGGAAACACTTGGGTCGCATTGTGAAAGGGAGCGGATGGTGGTCGGATGTTGTCAGTCATGCAGTGAGAGGCATCAGAAAAGGCGGGTTGGGAGTCTAGAGATCGGAACCACCTCTTCAAATTGGAGATCCTCTTTTCTTGTTAACAGTAGAAAATCTGTTTCATTTTATTAAGGAAAATGGCTGGTCTCTTACAGAAGAATACTTCATTTCTTTATCCAGCTCTTTTATTTTCCTTGGCCATACCCTTCACACACCAGACCTAATTCCAAATTATTTTTGGCTATTTAAAAAAATCAGTTCCCCTGTGCTACAATTACTAAATACATTGAGCTGGGGATCTGGATAAAAATAAGGGCAGAGGGACATCACTGGACTAAGAGTTGAGGAGCCTAGTGTCTCCCCTTAACTCTGCCAGTGAGCACAAGTATGATGGGTGAGGTCCTCACTCCACTGCTCTCTGCTCTCTGGGAAGGCCACTTGTGCTTAGGGATGTGACCTTATCCAACAGGTCTATACAGAAGGAAAGGACCGTACTTGGCTATGTCACAGATCCCTTCCAGCTCCAGTAGTCTGTGATCAAAGGTACCATTTTAAGAACTTACTGTTTAAGTGGTAGCCACGCTGTTAGATTCTGTGTACAGCCTCCCAAGGAAATGATTCATGTAATGTGGCAGTTCTGGTTTATCTTTTGACCTTATGGTTACCCCTCATGTCCCTATAGAATTAAGGCCATTTAAAACTGAAATAGAAAAAAAATAAAACTGAAATAAATAAGCTTCTTAGGCACTCCCTCAAAAACCAAAGCAAGCCCTGGAAAAGTCAAATAGGTATACCCCAAACCCCTTTCTTTTGAAGCAGAAGTCGAGGAAGGAACTCCAGGCTGAGAATTGGCCCCATGAATCCAAGTAATTTGGATGGGCTCTGGTCAAACCTAAAATTCCTTGGAAACTGTCAGAGGCCTCATTCTCATGAATTCCACACTGTCATGCCAACGAAAGTACCTGTCTTCCACACTGCTCTCTTACCCTTTAGGGTCGCATCCCAGGTGTGGTTATGCTGTTGCTCGAGGTGAGGTGAGGCACTTTGGGAAATCAGTGTAGCGGTGTGCCACCTGGCCCATTAGAGAGCAGGACTGTGTCAGAGAAGACCCGGGAGGGTGACAGGGAGGATGACAGCACAGCAGTGCATCCGCCAAGTTACGACAACCACTCAGCCTCGTTTGGGGCTTTTGCGCATTCTTACCTTCATATACTAAGTGTATGTAATGACTCCCCTGGGTGTTCCTGTGGCCAGATACAGAGCAAGATACATGCTCATGCTACCTCGTTCAGTCCTCTCTGAGGTGTGGGTACCACATGGTCTCAGATGAGGATATGGAGGCCCGCAGAGGTCAGGCTTGGTGCCCAGGGTCACGCAGTAAGCAGAGCTGGGGTTTGAACTGAGATCTTTCTGACTCCAGAGCCCATGTTTTTAGGCAGCGCAGCATTCTCCCTTTCCTGGAGCTCCCCCGCCCCGAGAGTCATTGCTCATTCCAGAACCTGAGAGGTTAGCATGAGTGTAGGTACGAATGAGTTAAATCTATTTACTCACTCCAAATCGGCACTGGTATACTTTGAGTGTAAAATGTCAACTGGAATTTTTAATGTATAAAATCTTTCATCTGTCTTTACACCAATCTTTGCACAGACTAGCCCCCCTCCCTTGAGGATTTATTGTGGTTTTGATCTGTCTTGCCTCAAACCATTGAAATCTTTTCAAAGAAGCAGAGCTGTTTTCTTTTTATTTTTTCCTTCTCTTTGCTTTTTTTCCTCCCGCAGTACACTGGTACCAGGAGTGGACATAGTTTGCTATTCTGCTTGATCAAAGCACTCTACACCAATGTAACTTCCTGATCTTACTGGTAACAGAACTAAATGTTTCCATGTTCTGCCAAGATGGGTTGCCAGTTATCGACAGAGGGCTTGCATCTGGTAATAATTATTTACTAATTCTGTTTACCTTTTGATCTGGTTTCAGTGTACAGCTGCAGCTATCAAGGCTATAAGAGAAAGTGGAATGAATCTGAACCCAGAAGTGGAGGGGACGCTAATTCGGGTACCCATTCCCAAGTAAGTTTGGCTGAAACTTACATGTTTTGATGTAGTGGGGCAGTTGTCCTTGGAAGGAAACCAACATCCATGATACCATTAGGCTGATAGCATACTTTATATCTCTCATCCTGGTAAATGCCAGCATATTTGAGGTCCAGTTTACTGATTCAGAAATATTTATTGAGTACCTACTATGTCCTAGGGGCTGGAGATGGAGCAGCCAACCTAATAAAATCCTTGTCTTCATGTAGTTTATGTTCTGGTGGGGAAGATGGGACGTGTAAACAGATAAAACCATTCCAGGTAATGAAATGCTACATGGAAAGAAAAGGCACTGAGACCCAGTAGAGAGTGACTTGCTGAGGGCAATGGTGGCAGGGACATCGTTAGCCTGAGAGGACTCTTTAAGGACGTACCATTTGCTGAGAGCTGAGTGATGAGGAAGGGTTAGCCTCGGGGAAGAACTTCCCAGGCAGTGAAACTTCCAGGACAAAGGCCCAAGTCAGAAAGACCTCTATAGTTGTGATCTCAAGTCCATGTTCCTTAAAGAACACTAGTCCTTACATTAGTCCTTGCTTGTTGAAGAATTTTAGGCATAAGAACAGGATATTGTTAATTATATAAACATATAAAACTTAGAATTTTAAATGAATAAAAATGTACAGTAGTCCCCCCTTAACCATGGTTTTGCTTTCAGCAGTTTGTAGCCACAGTCAGCTGTGGTCCGAAAATATAAAATGGAAAATTCCAAAAATAAATAGTTCATAAGTTTTAAATTGTGTGCCATTCTGAGTAGTGTGATGGGCTCTCAAGCCATCCCGCTCCATCCCACCTGGGATGTGAATCATCCCTTCGTCCAGCGTATCCATCTGTGTATGCAGACCCCCAATTAGTCACTTAGTTGCTGTTGGGGTTATCAGATTGACTGTTGTAGCATCGAAGTGCTTGTGTTCAAGTCAACTTTATTTTACTTAACAATGGCCCTAAAGTGCAAGAGTAGTGGTGCTGGCCATTTGGACATGCCATGGAGAAGCCATAAAGTGCTCCTTTAACTAAAAAGGTGAAAGTTCTCAACTTAATAAGGAAAGAAAAAAAAAAATCAGATGCTGAGGTTGCTGAGATCTATGGCAGGCACAAGTCATCTAACTGTGCAGTTGTGAAGAAGGAAAGAGTGAGTACAGTATGGTAAGGTATTTTGAGAGACCATATTTATATAACATTTATTACCCTATATTATAACAGTTTTATTTCATTATTAGTTATTGCTGTTAATTCTGTACTGTGCCTGATTTATAAATTAAATTCTATCATCAGTATGTCAGGATAGGAAATAACATAATATGTACAAGGTTCTGTACTATGTGCAATTTCAGGATCCACTGGGGGTTTTGGAATATATCCCCTGCAGATAAGGGGCAACTACTGTATGTTTATTTTTAAGTTAAAAAAGAAAAGAAAAGAAATGATAAGACCTTGACATTCTTAAGAAAGAGAAAGCCAGAGTGTCCGGAACTCAGGGAGGGAGGGAGGAGGGAGTGTTAGGAGAGCGGGTTGGACTAGTGAGTAGAAGCTGATGGTCCGGCCATGGTAAGGAGTTTGGGCTTTACTCAAATTGTAATGGGAAGACATTGGAGGGATTTAAGTGGAAGAGTGACTTGATCGATCTGATACGGACTTTTGGGGGGCCTCTCTGGTTGCTGATTAACAAATGGAATATAGGAGACAGAGTAGACACACAAATGGTGGGGAGGTGACTGCAGGAGTCCAGGTGAGACAGAGATCTGCCTGCTCAGATTCCGTAGCAGGCAGAATTAGTTTCTCCTTCTGTAATCATTTCTCAATTATCTTTAAGTCCCTATCCCTACACAGAGCCTCACAGACAGCAAGTTCCAAGTAGGTGTTAAGTTAATTCATTGCATCATTCAGCAAATATCTATTAAGCACTAACTACATGCCAGGTACTTTCCTAGCTGTCGAGATACAGCAGTAAAGAAAACAGCCAACAAAAAAGCCCCTGTCCTGGGGCATACCTTATAGGTGAAGAGGCATAGTAAACTGAAAAACAAAGAAATACATAGTGTAATAGCAAGTGACAATAAGGACTGTGAAGGAAAACCAGCAGGATCGAGGTGCTGGGGGTTTATTGTGGATAGGGAGGTTCAGGAAGGAGTTGACATTTGAGTGGAGACCTAAGTGAAATGATTGAATGAAACTTTCAGATAACTGGGAGGGAAAGGAGCATAACACTAGTCCAAGTCTTTCTGTGCCACACATCATCCCATATTGCCTCATTGTCACACCATCCCCTTGAGGCAGTTTTTTCTTCCAGATATGGAAAGTTAAGCTCAGAGAGGTAAAGTAACATCTCTGAGTTTGCACAGCAAATGCTGTAGCTAGGACCTAAACCCAGGTTTAGTTCATTACAAAGCCTCAAGATGCACGCATGTTAGCAACAAGAATTAATCCCAAAACTGAGAGTCCAGGAACTTCCCTCACTGAACTTTTTTCCTGCTTTATGAGCAGAAAATGGCCATCTTATTTCATTGTGTTCTTGGTGTTCTGTAAGTCATAATTAACAGTCTGCCTTGAAATCACATGAATTGGAAGTGGTATAGCCTAGTATTTAAATATCAGGTAGACCTGGGTTCAAGTCCAGTATCTGTGTGCTTGGTTATTTCCTTCATTTGCTCAGAAAATTTTCTGAAAATGTGTCATGTGCCAGGCTCGGTGCAGGATGCTGGAAACAGGCAGACCTGATGTTTGCCTTCATGGAGCTCACAAGCTATTCCAGGCCCTTTGTTTATATTACCTGCAGCTTACTTGAGGAACTTACTATTACCTACAGTTTATAGATGAAAACATTTGAATTCCGAGAAATTAAGGGACTTGCCCAAAGTCACATGGTCAGTAAGTGGCAGTCAGGATTTGAATCCTGAGTTTTTCTGTTACCAGCGTGCAGGCTCTTTCTCCTGTACTCTTGGAAAAGATGTGTAATTCTGGAAAGTACATGGACATTAGAAGCAAGATTTTTTTAGTTCTTGCTCTCCTGTCTGTGAAATCGTGGAAAAGCCACTTAACCTCCCTGAGCCGCAGTTTGCTCATATACTAGATGAAGGGGCTGCACTCAGTGGTGTGCCAGGTCCCTTGTGGAGCTCAGACATTCTGTGAGGCTATGAATTTATGCTGCCAAATGCTCATGGCTGGCCTCAGTTCCTCTTGGAGTGGCCTGATTGTGGATCATATTTTTCTTTCAAAGGTCTAGTTCACATAACATGCCCCTCTGCAGCCCCACAGGACTTAACGATCACTCTTGGTGCACTGTATGTAAGTCTGAAGGATCAGGGAATTCAACTTGAGTTTCCAAAGACATGGGGCTCTGTTACATTATATTTTACATTATTTTATGTTAGCTAATGGGCGTAATCCAAGAGAAAGTTGACGGACCAAAACCGTCTGCTCCTGCAAACCTCATTTTTTATATACTTTCTTCCCTTTGACAAGGTGGTAAGGTCATGAGGCCCCTTACTGAATTGTACGTTTGGTAGTTTTCCAGATAAAAAATGAATGATCTGTTCTTTATTATGGAGGCTTCGTCATGTGAGAGGATGAAGGTTGATTTAGATGAAAAAAAGGACCAAGGTTTATATTTGGTTTTGGCAGTGACTTCCATTTGATTCCGGGCATGTCACCCTAGCAGCTTGCCTCCTTCTTGTTCCTTATTTGTAAAATAAGTAAAGTAATAATGATAGGTAGAGATTTGGTAGGATTAGTAGAGAAAATAGATTAAGTAGTATGAGCTCCTTAGAGGAAAGAAGCTATGTAAATATAAGATACTAATATTATTTTAGTGCACTTTCAATTTTATATATATATACATACACATATATACACGGTGGGGCAAAGTAGGTTTACAATTGTGAGAACATGAAAAATAGAGTTTATTCTTCTTATTTATTATTGTATTATTTTCCATATGAACAACTGTAAACCTGCTTTTGCCTCACCCTGTATATACACACACACTTTAGGAGAAAAGGAAGGGAGCTAATATGTTGAGTACCTACTATGTGTCAGGAACTGTGCTTGACATATACAGGGAAAGTGGAAAAGTACAGTTAAACTTGTGCATTGGTATCACAGAAGCATGAAACTGAGTTCTGGTTTGTCTGCTTTTTAGCTGTGTGACAATGGCAACTGTCTCCACCACTCTTGAATCTCAGAGGGTTCATCTGTAAAATATTTATAGGACTTGCCTTCTATGGTTATTGGGAGATTTCAGTGAGATAATGTTTTTGATGTTTAGCAAGCACCCAGTTAATGCTAGCAAATGTTCCTTCATTCCCTTTCACTTATAAGTAGGACCATCATTCCCTTTTAAGGGTGGGAAACAGATTCGGAGAGGTGAGGCCACGCCTGCACTACACAGCTGGGAGCAGGCAGAGCTATGAGGAGGAAACTAACGGGCGAGCGGTGTCAGGAGTTTGGGAGGTGGGAGGGAGCCAGAAGCCTAACTTCCTAGGATCAGTTTCCGATTATAACATGTTTAGTTCTAGGGAGATTTGCCTTTCCTGACTGATCGTGAGTCGTCCTCTGCCTAATGACAGTCTGCAAGTTTGCTTTTTGGCGGTAATTCTGGATGCTTAGAGCAAAGTTTTCTTTTCAGTTGCAGCAGATCTCAGTGCTTCACCGTCATTACTAAACTCCTTCGATTCTTCTCATATGAAATTAGTTGACTGAGTATGTGACTTACTGTAGCCTGCCTCTGATCCTTGGGGAAATAGGCGGAAGATAATCCAAAATCAATAAGAGGTCAGACTTGCGCCGGAAGTGGGCCTTATCCCTCGGTCCCCTTTCCACAGCCCTGGCTCTAGCTCTGTGTGGCTGTGCACAGGTCCTCCTGGCTTTCCTCAGCAAAGGCCACTGCCTCAAGCCGTACCAACTGACAGTGTGTATAGCTTTTCTTTTCTTCCCTGGCCAGTGTTCTTTCATTTAGAGGTCAGTCAAATGGATGGATACTT